CTATTTTACCATATGAGATATTCTTGGATAGGCACTCTGTATCAAGCACTTGGAGGATCAACACATTTAGTACATATATTTTTTTTTGTAATGTTTCTATCTCTGAACTCGTTTTAATTATAGTGACATGTTACTTATTTTTGAAGTATTTATCTTTTTATGATGTTTACTACTTTTGCTACTGATATTTGATTATTGTGCTCCGGATTTATTACATGTTTTATTTTACCAGTCGCTTTTATATTTATATTTACGAGTTGGGTTTTTATCGTTTTATAATACTTTTATAAATGTCATTTGTAATATGATTTAAATTATCGAATACATTTTTGGAAAATGTTTTTAAGAATCTTTAATGTAATTCGTTAGACTTAGTTGAAAAATATAGGCTAGGTCTAGGGGGTTATATTTTATTGGTATCAGAGATTTTGGTTTTTAAAAACCTCGGATTGTAAATGGGTCCAAACTGAAAATATGGTTCTAAAATGCTTTATAAAATAATTCACGAAGGTCATGTCACCAAGTTTTTACGAGTTTAACTGTGTACGGGACTCCAAGTGCTAATCTAATCTTAGGCTTTATCTCTTTGTACTAAACCTCGTGATCCTCTGATATGAGTGCTAGACGTGTTCGTCGACTTGGCCGAGGGAGAGGTCGAGTGACTAGGTTTGCAGACCCTGTAGATGAGATGCATCTAGATCCCCCACCTCCGGAAGATAATTCAGTTCCTATAAACCCGATTGATCTGCCCCTACCCCTGGTATAGGTTTGATGACTGCAGTTAGAGGGCGACTGGTTTTTAGACTTAGCATGCTAGAGTATTGTTGTATGAGAATCTCAATAGATAATTTCTTCAATTGATTCAGGGAGCTGTTTGAGCTGCTAGCGTTGTACCCGAGGTTCCTATTTTTCAGACTCTGATTGCTAATGGAGTTGGGACCTTTGGAGGCCCTACTGGTAGAGCTCTCACTAAGGTCGAGGACTGGCTCTACGCTACTGAGTGACGCATGGATCAGGTAGAATTATACCAACTGTAACGTTATTTGGGAGCTGTCTTCATGTTGGACAGAAATGCCCACACTTGGTGGGAGTCTGTGGTCAATAGTGTTCAGGCTGATCTCTTGACCTGGGATTTCTTCAGGAAGCAGTTTAGGAGTCATTTTATGGGAGAGCGTTATCTAGTTCAGAGACGACAGTAGTTTTAGGACTTAGTTTAGGGTGAAATCATTGTTTCTCAATACGAGATAAGTTCTTAAAGTTGCTGAAGTATGGTTCTAGTTTGGTACCTACCGAGAGGGATAAGTGTCAAAATTTTTCTCATGGACTACGATATGAGATGCGCCATCAGGTAGTTACTCACCAGGATGAGGTATTCGATGTTGTGGTAGGGAGAGCAAAGGACACTAAAGAAGTCGAGGCTTCTACCCCTGATAGAGATAGGGTAGATCGAGATTGGTCTAGGAGGTCTTCCGGTCAGTCTAAGCCTCATGAATGCTCTGATAAGAGGATTCTTATTGATGCTCATCAGAGGAGTCATTATGGTTTGAAGTTTACGTCACCTCCATTTGTTAGTCGAGGATATTTTTTAGGTTTTACTCCGATACCGAGTTGTTTGCACTGTGAAAATTGACAAGGGGAAAGTGTCGTAAGAAATTAGGTACCTGTTATCGTTGTGGATCCAATGAGCTTTTTTTGAGGTATTTTCCACATCCATCTTCTTTCGATCAGACCCCTGCTCAGACTCCTTCTTGTTCACATGCTTCTGTTCAGACCCCCGCTAGGAATCACAATCAAAGTAGGACTTCTAGATCTATCTCTAGGGTCGACACTAGAGAACAATCGCAGAGTAGAGGACCAACTGTTTCTGAGGCTCGACGGATGCCCTTGTATATGTCACTCATCGTTCTAGTGATCAAGATGAACCAAGGACTTCTGCAATTATATTTATTTCTATTTTTTTGTTCATGCCATTCATTTCTAACAACGCCCTTTATATACTTGAATTTCGTATCTTAAGACTCACAGACCTTTGATAAACTCACCGATACCTTATTTCACTCTGAGTCTAACAATATTCTCCGTTATTGTCAATAGAGTAATTAGCCCTTGTCCTATAAATGAACCTTCAGAGACCTAATTTCACTTTTTGTTTGATTCTGGTGAATTTTGAGGACGAAATTCTTTTAAAGGGAGAAGAACTGTCACACCCAAAAATTTATTTAAAATTTATTAATTGTTTTTTTCCGTACAAAACTATAAAATATTTAAAATTTCTAAGCTAAATTCAAAAGTTTGGGAAATTAAGGGACTACCCTCGTAATTTACCCATAACTAATCTGACAACAAAATAAAAAATGGTGAGGTAGGGGGTTGGCCTGGCTTGAACCCATGACCTAGGGTATGACTGATCATGCCCCTACCAACCAACTTAGACATTATTTATGTTTAAAATAATAAAGTATATATACTATTCATTTTATTTTCAGGTTTTTAATTACCCAAACCAGAAAACCCCCTCCCCGTGATTTAACCCCATTTCCCCCCAAATTATAACCTACTCGCTGCTGTCTCTCCTCTATAATTCGTTCCAATCCTGACGCCAATACCGCTCTCCGTCGCCATCTGTCGAACCAGCATCTTTCAACGAACCCAACCACACCATTAGTGATCAGAATAAGCCACTGGTTAGCCTAAATCAAGAGTAAACTACCGTGACCCTACCGTCCATTTTTCATCGATTCTAGTCGTCGTGCTCGTCGACTCGCCTTAGCACCACTACAGTCGGACTCCTATTCATCGTGCACTAAAAACTCGACCGAGGCCGTCTTCTACCGTCGTTGTTTTTTGTATCACCGACGTGGTAATCCTGGGGTATATGTTGGTTAATTTTTTCAGTTTTGGCATGCTTTTGGTTGATTTTTGGCTAGATATTGAATGTAATTGGTTGATAAATGTTGTGGGAGTAATCGGCCATCGATCAGACCCATTTTCATCGGTTCACTTGCCACCACGCTCCGTCTTGTACATGTGAGGGTTGCCCCATCTTTTTTCTAGAACCGGTTCAAGTGAACCGAACCAGTTTGAACCAGTCTGAGTTGACTCAGACCGAACTGAGTCAACCTGAACCGATCTGACCCGTTGAATTTGACCCGACTTGTTGACTTGACTCTACCCATTGACTTTGACCTGACCAGTTGACTTGGACCAGAATTAACCGTCGACGTTGTCTTTGACTTTGACCAAAAAGTTAAATTTTCTGAAAAGCCCTATTTTACGTTTTTTGTCATCCCAAGTCCAATTTCAAAGTATGTTTTGTCAAATTCAAACCCAAAAGCCTCCAAATTGACTCGTAAACATGAAAAGAGCATATTTATTTAAGTGATTTTATTCAATTAATTTAATCAAAGGGTCAAGGACTAATTACTGTTATGGTATATTTAAGGAACTCGGGGATCTCCTGACCGTTCGACTGCTCGACCTGGTTTCTCTCGATCCGCTCGTCTGCGAGAGGTAGTGAATACCCGTATAGTTCTGTAACCTTGTTAGATATTCTGTTTAGAATATTATTCTGTATATGACCCTGTTCTGGTATAGGTTAGGTTCCCATTCATTCGAAGAGCCTTGTGAAGCCGATGCTCGTTAGATATTCCAGACTTATCCATTTTTTCTAGGTGTGTTCTTTGTATGCAAGATAACTATTTTAAATAACTATTTTAAATATCTGTTTGAAATCTCATGTACACATGATTGTTTTCTCTGATTTGAAGTATAATTTTTTATCTGATTTGAGTATTGTATAATTTACCTAATTTGAAGCTCGATTCCTGATTTACTAAAATTTAAAGCATGTTTGTCTGACTTATGATCTCTAGTTATTGTTTTACTGAATATATGTTATGTATGAACTCTAATTTACATCTACTACTGGTTACTGTCTAAAAAATGTTTTCTTCGGGTACTCTAGGATCTGGTATGAATACCCTGGTAGGTTCAGTCGCTGCTGGTAATTCCTTGTATTGGTTCAACACCGACTGGTAATTCCTTATAGACCTAAGGTGACTCTTGGGTGGGCTACTGGCCTAATGGGCCTAGTGATAAGACCTTATAGACCTTAAGGTCTTTCTTATGGTGGTTTCTCTACTGTGTGCATTGGGTAAGTCCTTATGGGCCTGAGGGCAATCCCCTCAAGTGGGCACCTAAGCTTTGGCTAGGGTAAGACCTTATGAACCCAAGATGCTCCCTCAAGTTGGCACCTACGCCCTTCGAGCGTAGGGTTAGTCCTTATGGATGCAGTTCTGGGAAACTGCATATGGTGTTCGGTTGGAATGCGATCCTGAAATTTTAAACTAAAACTCTATTGATATTTTAATTACTGTGACCTGAACTTATTTTAAAAATATAATTGTATGTTTTATTTTGCAATGTTGGGACGCACTTAGCACTAGCTCACTTTTCAAACTATCCCTTTTAGATATTCTCGGATGGGCACTCTATATCAGGCACTTGGAGGATCGACACATTTAATACATATCTTTTTGTTGTAATGTTTCTATCTTTCGAACTGTTTTTAATTACGGTTACATGTTCCTTATTTTTTAAGTACTTATCTTTTTATGATGTTTATTGCTTTTGCTACTGATATTTGATTTACTGTTCTTCGGATTTATTACATGCTTTATTTTATACCTGGTCGCTTCTAGTTTTATATTTACGAGTTGGGTTTTATCATTATTTATTATACTTTTATAAATGTCATTTGTAATATGACTTAAATTATCGAATAACGTTTTTGGAAAATATTTTTAAGAATCTTTAATGTATTCCGCTAGACTTAGTTGAAATGCATAGGTTGGGTATAGGGGGTTACAATAACAATATTGGTTGAAATTTAAAATGGTACCCTTCTAACAATCACTAAATAAGTTATAAACATGACTATATTTATATTATCAGTTGAATTCCATCTGCGTTTTACTGTTGAAATGCATAGGTTGGTGTGCACTTACAATGTTGCTGGAACCACTCTCACTACTGCCATCAAGGTTATATATATATTTGTATTATCAGTTGAATTCCATCTGCGTTTTACTGTTATCTCTGTTGGATTCAGGCTGGGTATAGGCACATTGATTGCGCTTCTCTCTATGCTAACGAGAAGGAGGTGTGAATAATTTTCAGTTTTCCGTTTTATTTTATTTCTCAATGTTAAAAATTCCCCATTATAATTAGTATATTTTTATATGCTGCATACAGCTTGGTTTTGTTTTCAAGGAGTTATTTGATGATGGTTTTGTGAAGCGTGAAGACCTATTTATCACCTCCAAGTTCTGCTTTTTCCTTTCCCTATATTTCCTATGTCATAACCATTTAAAAAAAATTAAATATTATTTTAAAAGTAAATATGACTATATTTGAAAAATTGGTGATTTTTGACTTGATTTGGATTGAATTGAGTAGGAGTCGCCATCGACTTTTGAGTTAGATAGGTCGAATACCTCAAAAATGTCTTTTAAAACAATTTTAAGGAAAAATCTTTTTTAAGACAAAAGTTGGTTTACCAAAAATTCGATTTAACGGGTCTAGGAGTCGATTAGCACCCCCATAGCGCCCAAGATTGGTACTCAATTGCTTACACATTGTCGTAGTAGTGGAAATTATAAATCGAATATAAAGTTAAATTATGATCCATGCATTGAATATTGATTAATTTATTTCAAATTATCATTAGGGAAAATTCTTTAACTTGAAAAGAAATCTCGAGATCAGCAATCCTCCATCGGAAAAGCTATCTCATCTATTTTTTGTCTAAAAAAATATTCCCTCCTTGAAAACGTAAATCAAATATAAATTGTCTATCAATAATTCGCAAACAACCAAATAAATTGCTACATAAAAATCATATTGAATCATAAAAATTTAATTAGTAAAATAAACTAGATTTATTTCAAGTTCCCATTTCGTTCGAACCTCGTATCGGATTGTACCACTTCGATTAAGTGATACTTTCCATGCCCGTTCTACAAATACAGTTCTTGAAAATATTGGAATGAAATAGACAATGGAGTATAAATTAATAGCTAAACAAATATATATTTAAATATGTAAAATAAATGTAATAATAATAATATAAATTGGAATATATAAATAAATATGCGCATAATAGAACACATAGAAATAAAAAATTATACAAAGAAGACATAAAACAATTAAATAATTTATACATACATACATACATAAAATTGTAATTGACAATAAATCAAAGTTACAAATTTGGATTAAAATGCACATTTACAAACATGATAAATTAAAATACTAATAAAAGAATCCAATTATACATAGTAAATGAGGACTAAATAGTAAAAACAACAACTTTAGAGGTATAATAATAAACATATAACAAGTCATGGCTAATATACAAATATCACATCACATGAGTATTAAAACAGAATAAAATTAAATTACAGACCCTATTATGTAATAAGTACAGGATCAAAACTTAATATAGTCAAAACATAGGGGATTAAAATGGGGAAAAAATCAAAGTTATCTCCAAGAAAAAGTTAGTGACCAAAACAAAATATTCATAGATTTTATGACCAGATTCAAACACCAACGAAAAATGGTATAATCTATGAGATCAGTGACTAAAATGAACATTCAAGAAAAATGTACTACATAAGTATAAATAAACTAAAGTACAATGATCTAGGCTCAAATATAAACACAACAACATTTAAAGGAAAATGAGGACTAAATTAAAACATAAAAAAAATAAGAGCTCAAAATGGAAAGATGAAATTTCATTCAAGTGACCAAATTACAACCCTTATAAAGCTCGAGGGACTTCGGGTGAGATTTTACCCTCGACCAAGCGCGCAGTCTCTTCTTTCCTCAAAATGCAACCGCATCGATGATGGTATATAACCATGTTTATAGGGTTATTGAAACCCTAAAATATTGTCTCCCTCAACAGTTAAAAAATGAGAAAAAGCTCTCTCTCTTTTTTCTTCATCGGCTTTCCTTTCCAGAAACCGACTACCGCTACTCGATGCAGATCGACGTCTGTCGATGGTAGAGAAGAGAGATGGTGACACCCAAATGATCCTTTCAAAGTCCTCAATATGAATCCAAGACCCTTTTACTTTAAAAGTGAAGGGTTTAGAGTATATCTGAAGGCAAATTTAGGGAACGCTCCACCTTTGATAATCTCTTTTCATTGGCGGAGAACCACAAGGGTAAGTTTTTTTTCACCTTCACTCTTTCTCTTTTGTTTCCTTTGATTTCTCTCTATTTTTTGATCGAATGGTTTTTCTCTCTTTCTATTTTTCTTTTTGGTCTTTGAATGGTCCCCATCTAGTTTCTCTATAGGTTTCTTTTTTTCCTCTGATATTTTCTTCCTTGAATCCTCCCATTTTCCCTCTATACCCTTTTCTTTCCTCACCAAATGCTTCTATGTTACATTTCTTGATTTCTGGATGATATGATGATGCCTAGAATAGGGGAATGGTTCTCTGATTGAGTAGTTGAAATCTTGGATTTTAGGGTATGGGTTCTGATTTGGTATATTTTGTTGACTATTAGGTATTGTATTGGGTACTTTTTAATATGTTTGGTGACAACGGCAGCGTGGGAGTGCTAGGAAGCAACTTAGGTGGCAAGGAAGGTGAGCATTGAGATCCACGCGCTAGTTTGGGAGTTGAAACATCGGTACACGCGCCGACGATAGACGATTGATCTTTACTGATAGTGGATGACTTTTAAGATTAAACCCTAATTGGGTTCTCTTATTGGGATCGAGTCTGATCTTGGGTCGGTCTGGATCATCTAGGCCTTGTATGTTGGGCCACTGGTTGGGCTCTGTGTTGGGCTTTAAGTGGACCCGACAAAATATGTAATTAAAATAATTAATAATATATATATATATTTAAGACTCGAATAAAAAAGAGTGTCTATAGCTGCCCCACTTTTCACATTCTTGTGTTAACAAGAATAGGACAAATACGAAAAGAAAATAAGCTTTTGTCCGGTTATCTCTTTTTCCTGGAAATTTGATAGAAGAGACGACACTACTCATCTGCGATGAAGAGTTCTGGTCAGTTTTAGGTAAAGTTAAAGATAACACAATTCTTACGTGATGAGGAAGTCTGGCTATCTAAGGGTGACACGGCTCCTACGTGATGAGGAGATCTGGTCGGTGGATTACACAGTTCTTACGTGATGAGGATGGCTGACCATCTTTGGGGATGATGATAACACAGTTCCTACGTAATGAGGATGGCTAGTTATCTAAGGTTGACGTGGCTCCTACGTGATGAGGAGATATGGTCAGTGGATGACACAGTTTCTACGTGGCTGACCATCGTTAGGGATTTGTTTCAAGAGAAACTGTCTAAATAGAGACAAAATTTGTTTCAAGGGAAATAGACTCAAAGATTTTTGTTTCAAGAGAAACTGTCTCAAGAGAGACAAAACTTTGTTTCAAGGGAAACATACTCAAATATTTTTGTTTCAAGAGAGACAAGATTTGTTTGAAGGGAAACGATCTCAAAGATGATGTTTCAAGAGAAACTGTCTCAAGAGAGACAAAATTTTGTTTTAAGGGAAACAAACTCAAAGATCTTTGTTTCAAGAGAAATTGTCTCAAGAGAGACTAAATTTCGTTTCAAGGGAAATAATTTCCAAATTTTGTATTCTGAGGGAAAACTATCTTCAGCGAGACAAAATTTGTTTTGAAAGAAATAATCTCAAGTTAGATTAATTTTGTTTCAAACAAAATAACTTTGATATTTGTGTTCCGAGGGAATTATCTCAGTGAGATGAAATTTACTTTGATTAAAAATAATCTCAAATGTTCGTGTCATAAGGAAGATTGTCTCAAGTGAGACAAAGTTTGTTTTGAGAAAAACAATCTCAAGTGAGATCAACTTTATTTCAAATGAATAAAATTCAAATTTTACATCTCAAAGGAAAAATGTCTCAAGCGAGATGAAATTTGTTTTGATAGAAATTATCTCAAGTAAGACAAAATTTGGTTTTAGAGAAAACTGTCTCAAGTTAGACAAAATTTGGTTTTAGAGAAAACTGTCTCAAGTGAGACAAAATTTGTTTTTCAAGAAAATTGTCTCGAGCGAGACAACATTTTGTTCTGAAAGAAACAATCTCAAAAGTGACTGACAATCTGCTTGTTCCTGTATGTTGAGGAAATGCCTTCAGAGGATCTGATCATTCACTTGAGGTTGTTGAATCTGTAGATGACATTGATTCTTCATGTTAAAGACATCTGGTCATTTCTGAACTTTTATTTCCTTAAAGATCAAAATGATGCATTTATGACTGACTATCTTGGATGTTATGATAGATGCCAAAATGAAGTTTATTTTAGGTGTTTAATTTGATGATTTTTGAAATTATCCTCACGAGAGGGGAAATGTCTTTATTTCACATGATGAATGTTTGATGTAAAGATGTAAATTTCATGTATCATGTATGTATGTGTTGATGTATGCTTTCTCGATCAACGATGAGAATGATTGCATAGGAAATCTTGATTATTTGTTTACACCGGCACCCATCCTAGTAAATATGGACTCGTGGCAATTTCTTCTTGCCCCAACAAATTTTTCCCCTGATGAATATGGCTTCCTTTGTTTGGACTTGTATAGAAATCCAGTAGAGCTTCCCTCGTGATACCATCATCATTAATGCTAGATGGTTTTGAAAAGAGAATATGTCATTTCAAGCTTTAGAGATTGTGTACGCACAGATACCATGTACCGGGAAATCAAAGACCACTACATGGAGTTAACCACCATAGTAATTGATTGGAATATCAGACTTCCCCAGAGGGCCATGATACACATTCATGCCAATGATGATGGTTTGAACCTTTTGAAGATATTTACTCAATAGCTGACATCGAATTCAGTCTTCCAAGCTTTGCATTGACTCTTAGAAGTCAAATGTATAGGTCCTGATCATTGACCCTAGTTGTAACCATACACCATGTGACTATGCCAAACTCGGCAAGACTCATGGAGATCAGAATTTTCCTGTTAGGTAAAACACAAAGAAGGAACTGTGGAGCTCCAGGAATTTTGGATATTTAAACATTCAACAACGTATTCATCATTTCTTGTGGCTTATGTCAAGATTTTTCAACCAGGGAAGCTCTTTGCAAGGTGTTCAAGGCTTTTGTATAGCATTACGAGGACACCAAAGAGTAAAGCTCAGTGGGAATGTCAGTGGGACACTTTGTCTTACCCACATTAATGCATGGGCGATCACCATAACAATACAACTGCATGTTGTGATAATGGACAAAACAATCATA